AAGCCCTTACCCTCCCCTTACCTTTACCCTTCATCCTACGTGTTAAGATGTTTCACCCTCTGCCATGCCCTATGACCTAATGCTGAGAGGGTATGCAGGACAAGGGAGGATGTGTTTGGAAAGGTACACAGCAGATAAGTAGAATCCCCACGAGGTAGTGACAGAAAAGAATAGCATTTGCCTAGGTAAAGAGAGTGGGTGAGCATTCCAGAGACATGGAAGCTATAAGATGAGGTGAGAGTTTTGTTTGGCCCCCAACAGAAACATACTTTGAAGTCAAATAGAATCTAATATTAGATTAAGAATTTGGTGGCCAGCAAAGAGAGAGACACTATATTCTCAACAGGTTCTCAAGGATTTTGAAGTTGCTCCTGTCAAGTCAGAGGGTAGTCAAATGATCAAACAATCGCAATGAGCAAGCTGTCTAGGCCAGCTGTTTGAGTGTTTTCCCTAGGGAAGGAAGACAGGAAGTGGGGGAAAAGGAAGAGAGGGAAAGACAAAGCCGGAAAGGTGAGTGCTGCCGCCACCATTGCTTCCAAATGTCAAATTGATGGAGGTCAGTGATTCCCAAACTTTGCGTCATATTCACCTGGAGGACTTAAACAGTTTTCTGGGCCCATTCCCAGTTCTGACTCAGGTGGGGCAATACATTTGGCCTCCCTAACAAGCTCCATGTGATGTTAATAGACCACGCTGAGAAGCATAACTCTCCTACCGTATGTGGAGAGCTGGAAATGCCTAGGCTGTCTTTGGCCCCATTTTTAAAAAAACAAAAGTCAGCAGCAGGAGAGTAGCTGCTGAGCTCGGGCCAGAAGGATTGGAACTCACTGGAAATCAAGATTTCCGAGAGAATTTTCCATCGTTTTAGTATTAGGAAGCAAGCAAGCAAGCAAACGTGCGTGTGCCTGTACACACACACATACACACACACACACAGCCACCACGTGACAGTCTGATGAAACACAGGTTTCCAATGCTAATTCCTTTTTTAAGAGCGATCTTTTCAAGGCAGGATGGCTCATCTGGTCCCAGAAGTCTCATGGGATGCTCCTTGCTCTTGACCTTTGCTCTCTTCCTAGTTGTGGACACCAACCAGCTCAGCACCAAGAATTGAAGGCTATACTTGGTCTGTGCTCCCACCTAGGAGTGGATCCGGCTCTTTACATCCAGGGGAACCGCGGGAGATCTGCTGCCTTGGAAACATTTGGGAGGAAGACCTCCCTGTCACCAAGCCCCTGGGAACCCTGCGTTCATGGCACTGGTCTTGAGATGCAGAAACAACTCTTGTCAGTCTTGTCCTGCACATACGTGATCCCGCCCGCTGTTGTCCCAGTAGAACACACACTCTTCCCTCGACCCCGACCCCTATCCCAGAAGCATTGGACCTCTCCCACTTTGCTGACAGGTTGCTGGGGCTGGCTTTGCTCCAGCTCCTGGGGGTGGGGGATGGGGGAGACTTGACAATCCAAACACAAACTGGACCTCTGGATCTGCCTCCCAGACTTGGTCATGGTCACGTAGCTTTCCCTGAGATTCCATATTCGGTCTCCCCAAGCTGCTCCCAAGTGACTAGGTGTCCCCGTTGCTTGTAGCCAGAAGTTTGTATGGTGCAGAATACGGTGGAATGAAGCTAAGCGAGGGCATAGGGTCAAGGAGGGTGTTCCTGGGTCCAGTATCTCTCTCTAGTGGACATGGTCCAGCAAAGGGCATCTGGGGCTGTCCAATCAAGCCTGATTTGGGATAACCCGGGCAAGGACCCATGGCTGCGGGGTCAGTCTAGCAGCCTGCTGCACACACTATTTTTCCTCTCCTGCAAAAGGGCTAGTTCAAGCCAAGGGAACAAGCAGTGAGGTGGCTGGAGGCCACACTCACACCCTGGAGCTCAAGCCACGACTTGTTCGGCCTGCGCCTCCAGGGGGCGCTGCGGCCTTTCTAGCGGGCTTCAGAGCTACAGCCTGCTGAGCCGCTTTCCCACCTTGTTCCTTGGGACAGCCCGGGCGGGACCCAGCCACGATTTCTTAAAAGATGGAATTCTTAATCCTGGCCCCTTCGCACCCTCAGCTCCGTGTCTAAGGCTAGCAAGCCTCTCTGCTCGCCTTCACCGCTGCTCAGTGATTGGAGTGCATGCACTTTTAAGTCAAGCTATGTCAAGTCCTCCAGGCTGCAGCAAAACACAGCAAAAGGTTCCGCAGAAACTGGAGAAAACTGGGAGCCTGGAAGCCGACCCCTAGGGAAGAAGATCCGTTATCCGTAACTTGGTTTTGAAGGGTTCAATTTATTTAGGATGTCTGCAGCACGCAGTCAACTTCAGGGTGTCTGTGTCTGACACCTGCTGGCTCCACCCGCAGAGTCCTGGGTGGGCTGGGGGTTGCGCTGCGCGCACGTGTACACACACACACACACACACACACACACACACACACACACACACACACCAGCTCCTCTGCTAGGCCTTGTTCCCTTCCTCCCGTACCACAAACATTGCTGTTACGTTTGGGGCAGCAGCCGTTCAGCCCGCTCCAGGTCAGCGTGTCCCTGTTGTCGAAAGCCCAGGGCCAGAGAGGACTGAAGCTGACCGGATCCACGGATACAGAAGTGAACAGGCAGCTGAAACCCGGCGGGGAGCTGAGACAGCTCGTTGAAGACTCGGACCTGGGGGCGCGGCTGGCCTGCGGCAGACTCGGGGACCTCAGCTTCTGCACGCCAGGACGCCCACAGCTCTTCGGTGGCCAGGTGGGCTAGTTTTCTGCACCGAGGCATATTGTGGGTCTGTCTATCTGGTGAGCGGGCGCCCTCTCTCAATGCATGCGAACTTGGGGGTCCCCGAGGTCTGAGCGCGGAGAAGTTTGGATCCCCAGCGGCCTAGAGAAGCTGCGGTGCTGCGCGCTCGGCTGCAGGCTGCAGGCTGCACTGGCTGCACTGGCTGCACCTGCCCGTGCCCGCTGCAGCGCTCAGGCCGCTGGGCCCCGCAGGGCCGCGCTGCTACCTGCAAAGGCGCTCGGACTCCTCCCTACCTTTCTCCAGCCCCGGCTGAGCTTGGGCTGGGTTAGCCCAGATTTCTTCACAGGCTGAGAAGCGCGAGGTAAACGTGTTTACAGTAAGACCCTGGCTCGGGGGTGGGGGGTATCGGAAAGGAGTGATACAGCTAGTGGGGAGTTACCAATTTTGTCTACCCCACGGGAAAAGCGGGCGGTTCAGTACTCAGTCCACACGGGTCGTGAAGGTGCGAAGCCTGCTTCTGCAGAAGTTGCCTCCACTTTAGTGAAAGGGAACTAGAAAGCACAGTCTCAGAGCTCAGGTCACCACCCGGTGCGGATATGTCCTAGGGGGTCTGAATGAAGAGAAAGTTCCCTCCAGTTCTCTAAATTGAGAAAGGCTGTGGAAGGAATGAGGTGGTTGGAGAGAAGGAACCGCAGGCATCCTGGGAGCTGAGACTCAGGACCAAGCGCTAAAATGAAAGCACCCTTCTGGAACTCACTCGAGAAAGGGTTTTTTTAAAACCCCTCTTCTTCCTAGGAGTTTTTCTACGTCCAGGCTGTTCATCAGCTTTATTCTGAAGTAGCTAAGCCCTACAGGATATTGAACACTCGAGTCTCTGTCCCAGGCTCACTTTGTAATCCTTGCAAACCTACAACTGGTGAAGATGATCTGCTATTCCTGAATTATGTTTTACCAAAGAAACGAAAATTTATATTCACCTTGACAAAAATAAAATAAAAAGGCTTTTACCTTAATGAGATCGTTTCCGTGGAGTCTGCCTGCCTCTCTGCTTAGTCTTTGATGGCTCGTAGCTTTCTGCTTACACCTCTCCGATTCCCCACGCAGTTGAAGTTATTATACTTGTCCTTTGAGGGGGTGACCGAAAAGCATCTTTTGGCGAAACACGTTTGAATTGTACAGTTTCTTTATAAGATCTATGCTTCTGCAAGCACCGGCTAAAGTGTCCTCAGATGGTTCGGGACTAGCGACGGTTTGCTTAATTCTGTTTGGGCGCATTGCATCCAAAACACTGCTTGAAACGAATCTTGTTGTTCCCGGCCTCTCTTCAAGAGGGGCTGGGATGCCCTCTCATTTACACGCTCACAAAACCAAATCTTCAGGAGAACTAGGAAACTTAACAGTACACGTCAAATTCAATCAGTTTTCCTGGCGGCTGAACAATGAACTCAATTTTTGCTGAGAATGAAGATAATGCACATTTTGGGGCACTGGAATAGTCTTTTCCTAAAATTTAAAAATGATTGTTCTTCACCCATTCCAGATGGGCACATTATTGTTTGCCAATGGATTGCAGATGCCCAGTCCTTTGCCCAAGTTGGTTAACTGCTTATGAAATGTGCATTAGCTGATTAAAGCTCGGATATTGGAAGAAATTTCTTCTGGAACATTCCAGATGTCTCTGCACTAATTATGAAACTAGTCAATTGTCACCTTCATAAACAAACTTCGTTTTGAAAACAGAGGAAACCAGACTACACATATACCCATAATTGACCAAAAGTATGGGCAGAACTGTTTTACATCGGAGGAGGGGCGGTATGTGCTGGAAAACAAAATCTAAAACTGATAGCTTTGGCCCTTTGAAGCAGATGGTCTTATTAAACGTGTTAAGACGTGTAAATGACGCCAGCAGCTAACCAAGTAAAAGTACAAAAATGCCCTTTGGACTTCTCCGCGGACTCGGAAGAGCAAAGACCCAGTAGTTGAGCTTCAAACAGTGTAAGGAAAGTGTCATCCAAAAAGAGGGGATGGGCGTTGTCTTTGTGTGGGGTTTGAATTGAGTCACCTTGGGCTCTGTGTCTGGGTTAACTGGGAAACCTCAAGCAAACCTGCGCCTTTAAGACTCAGTTGCTATCCAAACACAAGTAAACAGAGTGGACCATTAGCGGGCGCCGGGCGTGGAGGCGGAGCCTGGGTCCTGCAGCCCCGCTCCTCAGCGGGACGCCCGCCGCGAGGGGAGGCGGGGCCGCTACTAAAGCCTTGGACTCCCCGCCAGGGGCAGCCTGGGGCGGGACGCGGGCTGGGACGCAGCTCAGCGCGCTCGCTGCCGGAGGGTGATGGCCCTGCAGGGCTGCGGGCTCCGACTTTACCCGCAGTCCGCGGCGAGAAACTGGCCCAGGCACCGGGATCTTGGCGAGCGCTGAGCACTCATCCAGAGCACGTTCTTTCTTTACACATCTCGCCTCCACGGCCTGCCGAAGACCAAGTACCGCTGTCGCTTTCGCTCCCCCAGATCATGTCCTCAGTTCCCGGGACAGCGCTCCGAAAAAGAAGTTCGCCCAGTTTGGACCTCATGACCTTTCCAAGCTGTGTGTCCTGCTGCCCGGACCTAGTCTGAACCGCGCTGCCCAGGCAGACATCGGGTCTGGCGGTGAGTGTCCTTTCCCGGGTCAGGCTGTAGCCTTCCAAAGAAAGGGAGGGATGTGGGTGCTCAGGGGGCGCCCAGGTTCTCAGTCTGGAGCGCTACAAGTTCAGAGAATGAAAGGCAGCCCTGCAGACCCTAGTCCCGGGCCTCGTGTTCTGGCTTCCTCGGTTCCCGCACGGGACTCCCAGCTAATACATTCAGTCGTACTTTTGTGTGCTGCCCCTTAGTTTGGTTTTGGTAGATTTATGCATTCGGCAAGATTTAGAAAGGCCGATCGCCGTACTTTGTGGCCAGATCCCATCACCCCGTGATACTGCTCCCCTGCTCTAGAAAGCCGGGATCCACGCTTCCTACTGCAGCTCCCGCCCGCAGCACGGAAGGGCCGGGACACACGGTGCAGTCAAGCCAGCGACTCCGAAGGCGCTTTTCACAGGGGAATAGTTCAGTCGTAGGTGATTATTTTTTCCAACTATGTGCTGGCTTCTTGCTTTTCCTCCCGCTCCTGTCTTCGCTCAGAGGCCAGCAGGCAAGCTCCTCCGGAGCTGAGACTCTTGGGTTGTCGAGAAATAGCTCGGAATGGAGTCACGGCTGTAGGAAGGAGGCAGGTCAAGGTGTTTGTGGAGGCGGCGACGCTGAATCGGTCTCCCCACCTGTGAGCAGAGAACAAAAGAGCACTGGCTGCTCCCGAAGCGAAACTGGTTACAAACAGCAACTTTCTCTGCTCCACAAACTCTAGTCTTGAACAGAACAAGAAAATGACACCGGGAGGGAGGGAGCAGAGACAAACCCAGATTATGCGGAAGGCATCTTAATTTAATTAACTCTTTGGGAAGGCAGAGGCACAGGAAAGGGGCAGGAACTCCGTGCCCCCCCCCCAACTTGATCAAGTTCTCCTCCCCTACCATGATTTTAGATCTCTTTCTTCTATAGCTCTCTGGCTTATATACAATTCTGTTGTGTTTCAACTGAAATTCAGTGAACATACCCAATCATCCATCTGTCATTTATCTCAGAAGTCAATACAGCTAGCAAATGACCCAAACGGTATTTTTTTTTTAGATATTTCACTGTAACTTCGCTGTTGCCAACGATTGGATATTCTTTATCAAATTATCAGGAACCCTATGTTCTCCAGTGTTTTTAAAATTTTAGCAAACTGAAATTAATATGTACAACTAACTCTCCTTTGCTGACAGCCAGTGAAACTAAATCTTACAAAATGTCTAACATGCCTGGGAATTCCACTGAAAACCGATGAAAGAAATGCAGCTTTATCTCCATTGAACCGTTTATGACTTTTCATGGTCTAAATTTCCCTCCTCGCAAAATTAAAAGTAACCAGTGATCCGAAACATGCTGGTGGAGCGATGGCAGCACAGGACACGCAGTTAGTGAGATGGAATATGCACGCAGCCCCAACAAAACGAAAGTATCCTAGATCTATGAGTTGACTTACGGGATAGTTTGTCATACATTGCTAGCGACTAAACAGGAGAATGGGAATCTGAAATCCCTGGTCATTTATGTTTGGTAGGTGTTTGGGGGTGTTCTATTTGTAAAGGGATTTCAGAGGACACATTGGCTTGTCCTTCCTTTGCCAGATGACTCTTCCTTGCAAATAAAGCAAACTTTCTATGAAGTGGCATTTTGGGACTAACAGAAATTATAAAAGTCTCGTTTCTGCAGTATAAATTATTGGGAGGAAGAGAGTGGCACTCAGGTCTCTGCAGACAGAATTAAGATTGTGACCTTTATGGCAAAGTTCACTTGAAGCATTTGGAGTAAAAAATATCTATTTTGATAGTCGTTCTGTCGATCAACACGGCCACGCTGCCACCTCCGCCTATGCTGAGGATCGTGCATGCCTCCTCATTTATTTCTAAGAAATCTAGTCTGGGAATAAACCCAAATAATCATTTCCTCTCGATGCAGGAAGAGAGGCTGCTTTTCCACACTATGGGGAAATGGTTTGACTCTGGAAAACCCTCATTACCTATGGAGACGGAAATAAAGATGAAATTTACTGTTTTTAATTAAAGAGAAAACAATCGGTGATGTTAATAGAACCTTCCTCCCTACACACACACACACACACACACACACACACGCACACACTCCATAGGAGAGTTCAGTGTCGCCGCTGAACAACAGTGAATAGTGATTTGTGTGGTGGGAAAGTTATTACTAATGGGAGGTTACAGTTTCGGTTGAATGCTCTGACTGAGACCCTCCGACTGTTACACACTTCTCATTAACTCCCAGCCTGAACTCCCAGACCACATACCACTAGGCAGAAGCAGTTCGTTAATAAATCTCTTGTCTCCAAACTGTTCCAAACAGCGGAGAAAGGTGGGGGACCACGGAAGCAGCTACTTTCAGCCTTGGCAGAGTGCTGTGCCATAGCGCAGCCCCTAAACCCAAACACCACTTCTTGTTGTTTGTAGGGTAGAAATTTCGGTACAGAAAGGACTACTAGGTGGGCAGGGAGAGCCAGACAGGCCTTAGCACCCTCCTGCCTGCTCCGAAACCTCAGGTGTCCCGGTGTTAGCGGTGCCTTTGGCCGGCTTTCTTCCTTGCTCGGCCAAGTTCTCAGCTCTAAACCCTGCACCTGGGAGGCCACCCTAGGCGGTGCTGCCAGAACTTGCTTATAAAAAGGGGTAGGCTGTGGGAGACTGTGGGCCCACTGAGAACGCAGATGAGGTGCTCAAGGGATCCTAGGTTGCCCCGGTGGACACGAGCAGCAGGCTGCACGTAGCCTAGGCCTCATAGTATGCAAGGACACCCCCCACCCCACCCCGCCGCCGCCCTGCAGTTCCTTTCCTTGGCCTCCTCCCGGATGCTCACTCCTTTCCGCTGCTCCTAAGGCCTCCTGGCGGTGCCAGATCAGGAACAGCCCCCTTTTTCTGAGATCCTAGCGCTCGGTTTGGGATAAGAGAGTTCCAGACTCAGAGATTCGGCATCCTCACCCCGGGGAACCAGGCTGGAGTCTGAGCCACCTGGAAGGGATTTTGGTAGGGGGTGGGAGGAGAGGCAGCCACTGAGAAGAAGGGGTGAGTCCAAGCTGAACCCGGCCCCCGAGGTGTCACTTTCCCTTCCTGTGGGCCCGTCACTTCTGATAAATGGGAGTAAGGCAGAAGAGGGAAAAAGAAAACCAGTGAGGTCAGCTAGAAGAGAAGCGAAGCCTTGCTAGGGCCCGGGGGGACGTAGTGCTCCGGGTAAGCGCGGGAAAGGCGACCTGAGTGGGACACCGCTTGGGGAGAAGCCACACATGTGGATCGAACCAGGCCTTCGGGTCCCGGATCGGAACCACAACCTGCGGTGCCCCAGGGAGCTGGCAAGCTCCGAGCGACAGCAGCTGGCTCTGCAGCCTGTGGGCCTTGACCTCTCAGCCCTCATGATTTCCCCTCCCAAGTGGATGCGGGACACAGGGGTCCAGACTGGTGCAGCACCAGAGCCCCCTGCCCGCCTTTCTTTCCCCGGGCGGAGCCCCTTGTCCTGGAACCCGATCTTCCTAGCACCCGCTCGCCCGAGGGCCTCTTGCTGCCCAAGCTCTGGGAATACCGGTACAGATTCGCGGGGCTGATCTTGGAGACTGAGGAGAAGGGAGCTTAAGAGATGTCACAGGCGAGATCGCCCAAGCACTGAAGAGGCTGGTTAATTAATCGTGGTGTCTCCCTCTCTCCCCCGGACATTTTTAGGGCTTCCTCTGCGAGCTGTTGTTTTGGGGGCTTTCCCCCTCACACCCGCCGGCCTCTGAGACCTGGAAGAAAGGGGCGGCTCCCTGCACCCCTCCGGAGCCTTCAGGAAGATGGGGAGCAAGGCCCTGCCAGCTCCCATCCCACTGCACCCCTCGCTGCAGCTCACCAATTACTCCTTCCTGCAGGCAGTGAACACCTTCCCCGCCGCAGTGGACCACCTTCAGGGCCTCTACGGTCTCAGTGCTGTGCAGACCATGCACATGAACCACTGGACGCTGGGGTACCCCAATGTGCACGAGATCACCCGCTCCACCATCACGGAGATGGCGGCTGCGCAGGGCCTCGTGGACGCTCGCTTCCCCTTCCCCGCACTGCCCTTTGCCACCCACCTGTTCCACCCCAAGCAGGGGGCCATTGCCCACGTCCTCCCAGCCTTACACAAGGATCGGCCCCGTTTTGACTTTGCCAACTTGGCGGTGGCCGCCACTCAAGAAGATCCGCCTAAAATGGGAGACCTGAGCAAGCTGAGCCCGGGTCTGGGGAGCCCCATCTCGGGCCTCAGCAAACTGACTCCGGACAGAAAGCCCTCCCGAGGGAGATTGCCCTCCAAAACGAAAAAGGAGTTTATCTGCAAGTTTTGCGGCAGACACTTTACCAAATCGTACAATTTGCTCATTCACGAGAGGACCCACACGGACGAGAGGCCGTACACCTGTGACATCTGCCACAAGGCGTTTCGGAGGCAAGATCACCTACGGGATCACAGGTGAGGCGGGGGACGATGGGAAGGTGAATCGGCCCATGAAATGTCCTATTAGATATTCCAAGTGTCACTAAAACCCTCTCTATTATAGAATGCTCATCCAAACCCCTCCCAAAGCTGCCTCAGTGACCCCAGCCTATTTACCTTTTCCCGCAGCCTGCCGCCGGCTGCTGCATTCTTTGGGACGAGAAAGGTCCTTCCTCTGTCTTTGAGCAGGAAAAATCTGGCCTGGGAGTCAGTAATTTTGTTTCCTCTGAGTCGGCCTTAGTACTGAGTGAGAAAAGGCTGCGGGTGGGGCATTCATTCCAGCTGTATGGGTGGGCGAAGAGCACAGGTTTGGGCTGCTGTGGCGCCATTTCCAGAGAATCTCCCCGATTTACTGACTTTTACCCCCGCCCCAACATACCTACCGAGTGCCCTGGAGCTCGGAGTTTCTTATTCTTTGTGAGGGTCTCGAGTCATTGTATTTAGAAACACCTCCCATATTACTTTCACACCTTGAATTAGTAAAGGACAACGGATTAAAAAATTGCCACTGTGTGGAGGTTTCACCTAAATCTACCTGTGACTTCTGAGGTGGGACTCCATCCTGGAGGCAATGAAGTGATTCTCAAAAATCACTCCCCTCCCCCACAACCCCCAGCCTTGCCTTCCGTCTTAAGTTGGCCATTTTAAGGCCCAGAGAAAACCCCGATGGTCTAGAAGGGCTTTCTGTGCTGCGTTTTGAGCTCCAGAAACTTGCCAGAGAGGGCGGTCAAGTGAACATTGTAGCCAGACTGCCCGTGAATGTTTCGAGGAGTCTGTTAGTTGAGGTTAACCATAAACAGAATTACACGGAAAATCTAAAAACAACATAAATAATAGAAATTCAGTTTTCTTTGCCCTCTCAAAATTTCGTTGGAGAAATTGTGGAAAGGAAATCCTAAACCACGGGGATGATCATCTCAATGAAACCTTGTATTGATTTTCAGGTATATCCATTCCAAAGAAAAGCCCTTCAAATGTCAGGAATGTGGGAAAGGATTTTGTCAATCTAGAACTCTAGCAGTTCACAAAACTTTACATATGCAGGTAAGTTTATTTTCTTCTTTCAAAAGTGAGCGCTTCCCTTTTACCATTATAGCTTTACACAAAATGACCAAGGCAGGGATGTCTCTTTAATGGCTCTTTTTAGACTAGCTTTCTGGGGTTGGAGAGAAGTAACACTTGTTTTTTAAATATAAAATTAACATTATGTAACATAAAGAATGTTTCTTAATGAACAGCTCAGCCGATTAATAATAAATCCTAATGTTAGTATTTTATATATTTTTTCATCCCATCTATTTTGCGTTTAAAACTTCCGTGTTTGGGAGGAAATAAAGGTAATTTTGACAGTGAAGTCATGGTGAAATCCCATATGCTGTCTTTACGGGGCCTCATAATTTGTAGCTTTCAAGATATAAAGGAATAGTTTAATTTTCCAGCAAACAGGAGCTTCATTCCACGGAAGAGTGTGGTTCCTTATGAGAGGATTAGCCACCCTCCCCCGCCCCCCGCCCTTGACGCGGCGGTGAAATACGTGGCCCACCGAGGTGGTCTTATCGGTGCAATCGGGCCTCTGCGGGTGCTTGCACGTGTGATTCACGATTGGCGGATTAGAAGCACAGATCTGTCCCTGCAGGTCCCCTCTTTTGTTGTCGCGAACTTGTTATTTTAAGGCTTGATACGGATAAGACAGAAACTGTTGAGGAGGGTGCCGTGGTGGTGTGAAGGATTAATCCTTTGCCTTGCTTCACATCTGAACAGGAATCTCCACACAAATGTCCCACATGTGGAAGAACCTTTAATCAGAGAAGTAATCTGAAAACTCACCTTCTCACCCATACAGACATCAAGCCCTACAGCTGCGAGCGGTGCGGCAAAGTGTTCAGGCGAAACTGTGATCTGCGGCGGCACAGCCTGACTCACACCCCGCGGCAGAACTTCTAGCGAAGCCCAGAATCTGTCCTGTGCGGCCCCGGCTCCCCCCCCCCCCCACTTCTCCAAACCTCCCACCCCAGGGGCCCATCCCCAACCTGGTTGACCCCAGCTCTTCCCTGCCTGCATCTGCACCTGCAGTTCCAGGGAGTTAACTGTTCTTCTGAGGACTGAGAACTCTCTAGAAAGCCACACACTACCCCCTTCCAAACCAGCATGTGCTAGATCCTTGTAGATATTCACGGCTCATTTTAGAGCTCTGTATATAATGTCGCGGGTCTTCGTCCTGTTGTTCTGTCTGGTTTTGTATCTTGTTGGATGCATCTAGACATGGAAAACGAAAACCAAATTTATCTTTAAAGACTGTATTTTCAAAAATAAAACCTCTTGATTCAGCGCTTCTTGAGATCCATCTTGCTAGCCAATCCCCGTGGGTTCTGGAGGAGTGAACAACCCCTGAAGACTCAATGGAGAGGATTTTCTTTATTCCTAGGTTTTAAAAACAGGACTTCCAGTTCTCTTAATAAAATTTGAGTACCTCCCCCCTTTTGTACAGTGGCATTTTGAAATGGGATCGTGCCCTTCTCTTTCTTTCAAATACATAAAATTGAACAGCCTTGGGGTCTTATCCTCTTGTGTATTCCAGTCTCCTTTGTTTATGAAGTTTACTCCTATAGGTAAGTATACTATAGTAACCATTGCCGATAACACACTGTCACACCCTTGAAAGGCCCCATATCGAGAAACACAACTAGGGGAGAGAAGGAAGCTTCGTGTTCTGGAAGAAGTCCTTGACCTGTTGTTGAAGTTTATGGTGGGCAACTTTTCCTACTATTAGACTTTGAACATTGTGATTTCTCACTATAAACACAGACTTTATCCTGCCTTCAGGGAATGAATATAAAACTCTCCTGCAGAACAGGAAGATACTGAGGATGGGGAAAGAGGAGGAAGGAGGGAGAAACTACTTAGTTGTGTTTGCACACAATATTTCTCTCCAAGGGTGGAGATCAATTCTGTCAGAAGGTTAGGATTTCTCCACAAAGCAAAGGGAGTGAGGTCACTGGCTGAGCCTTGCCCTTGGGAAAATGTCAAGTGTAGGCTGCTCCATGTAAAGAGCTTGCAGTAGGCACATGTTAACCTTCCAAGCACTTCAGTGTTTCCCAAGTAGGTCTGGAGCACAGGATACTAGGACAGTGACAGTCCTGAAGTTGGTAGGATTTGGTGGGAGGCTCTGCTGAGGAGGTAAACAGCAGTATGTTGCCAACTGGCAGGGAAATGACCCAATTTAGAGAACATCTGTGGAACCTGTGGCCCAGTGGCCCAGTAGGCAGTCATACACAGTTTAGTACTGAGTAACAGGCCGGATTAGGCACTCTCAGCTTTCCTTTTAAAAGTATATTATTTGTGCAAGGATGGCTTGTCTAACCTTCAGGGGCTAGCAAGCAACATGTCCCTTCTTTGTTTGATACCTTAAGATCCTCCAGAATAATAGATGGGAATTTGAAGATAAGATTTAAAATTTCTCACTAATGCCTGTTTGATATCACTTTCCAGAAGGTTTCAAAGCATTTCAGATTCATCCCTAAGGGAGCTAGATGAAAGTCATGGTTGTATCTCACAGGGTTCAGTTCTCTACAGCAGAGTGTTTCCTCACCTGTCTGTTTGGCTAACACAACACAAACGCATCTTCAGCAAGCCTTCACTAGAAAGGATCAGGAATGAAGTGTTCTCTCTCTGTCTCTCTCTCTCTGTCTCTCTCTGTCTCTCTCTGTCTCTCTCTCTCTCTCTCTGTCTCTGTCTCTCTCTCTGTCTCTCTCTCTCTCTGTCTCTCTCTGTCTCTCTCTCTGTCTCTCTGTCTCTGTCTCTGTCTCTCTCTCTCTGTCTCTCTCTCTCGCCCCCTCTCCCTCTCCCTCTCTCTCTTTCCCTCTCCCTCTCTCTCTCTCTCCCTCCCTCCATCTCCCTCCCCCTCCCTGTGTGTGTGTGTGTGTGTGTGTGTGTGTGTGTGTGTGTGTGTATAACTGCTGTTTGTTTTCTTCTGTTTGTACAGAATTAACTCTGTGACCTTTCCTACCCCGGCTCTCTCAAGAGCCTGCCTTGACGTGGAAGATTTGAGTACTTTAGGGTAGGGTTAACATCGACTGTCCCTAGAGAAACCCCCCTAATCTTTCCGCCTTTTTCCATGTAGTCAGACTCACAGCCCCACCCACCCTTACATACTACAAATGTCACAGTCCCACCGTACAGACATCAGCTGAATTAGAAAAGAATGACCCTTGCCCAGAACCAAGAGGCCAGCATGTCCTGGAGGTGCCCATCACAGATGTGTAGATTGATATAGGTTACTGTTTGTTTCCAATTATTCTAGTTAATAAAATAAGATTCATAAGTGAATCTGGAAGCTCAGAAGAGAAAGCCAAGAAGGCAGTTCCTCTTCCCATTCACACACCATTTCAAAAGTCAAGGTCGGCTCACATACGATTCATTCCTTGATTTAACAAATGTTTGTTTCGTGCTTTTCAGTTGCCAAACCTTATGGCAGTTGCCACTGCCTTTTGGTTTCATTTCTGCTATTGTTTTATTTAGAGACAAGGTCTTCCCTGCAGCTCAAGCTGGCCAAGAACTTACTTTGTAGTCCAGACTGGCTTTGCTCCTTCTGTTTCTCCCTCCTGAGTGCTAGGAAGACAGGCACAAGCCACCACACGGCACTTTGCACAGGGTTTTATTATCTATTTTTGTCTTGATGAACCTAGGGGCACATTTTAGTAATCCTGACTACCTAATTTAAAACTCTGTGCAATAGAGCTTAATTTAACAGCTCTTAAGTCCCATGGTCTCCACTCAGGCAGGACCATGCTCTCTGTGTTGCTTGACTCAAAACATTCTTCATGATTCCAGGTGAAATTCTGAATACTTGCTTCCTCTCCAAACTCCGAGGGATTTTTTTTCCCTCCTCTATGGTCAAGTATGCAGGAAATGCATCTTGTGTGGGACACTCTCATAAGACACTGTAGGGACAAGGCACATCCTGTGTCTTAGGAAGTAGAGCTGCTGGGATTTTTTTTCAGTTCAGGGAAGAGTCATTATTTGTGTTTTAGATTAGTCTGTGTTTCCTTACACCCTCGATCAGAGTCAACCTATGAATCAATTGTCTTGGCTAAAGATTCAGAGGAGGAAAGATCACCAGTCATAACCACAATGTAGAAAAAAATCAATGAGCAGCAGTTACAAATGATGATTGAGCTGTGACTATAGTATCTTCTCATGTGTGAGAGCTGAAGAATGTTTCTGAACACTAATTACATTGTAACCAATTGCCTGTGTGGCCCTCTGAGGGAGTTTTAGGTGCTCTCCCCTGCACTTAGCTTTTGCAGGTCGCTGTAGCATAAGCTTATTACTGTAGCAATTAGTGTTATTATTTTGCTATATGTCATTGTATAAGAGAAAAACTTCACAAAATCTAACTCTGAGGCAACTACATATTTTAAAGATCAGCAAATTCAAGTCTAAAATTATAAATAGTTCCAACGACCTCACTGATAATATAAAAACAACACTGGGAATTTCCCCAGTTCATTTTTTAGATTGTGGTATGAACATTTACACTTCTTCTTAAATGTTTACTTGGACACCTCTGTCTCAACTCTGGATGGGCAGCCAGCTCCTGGGAGGTGCTTGGGAAACAGAAGACTGTCAACATGGTGACAACACATCTGGATTTAACACTGTGTAGAAACCACTGCGCATCTTAAAATGAGATGAGTATGGATATGAGTTGCTCTTCTTGTCACCATATAATTTCAATATTGTTGTAACAAGGAAAGAGAACAAAAACGAAACCATGTAATACATTGCAAACACTTGTGTGTTGTGCTGGATTACTTGTATTTACATTTTCCAGTGCTATGTAGAGACTGTATTTCTCAATTTTTCCCTTCTAACATGTCACTTGACACTGATAGCTACTACTGATGACAGCAGTGAGCAATAAAGGGTGTGGAGATGCAGAATGAGTCAGCTCTGATGACCTGAGATAATTCAAGTTCATTCTTGTTTCTTCTCCTCTTTTATTACTTATTGCCTGCACCCTTACACAAACTACCTTATTATCTAAGCTATGTGACTTTTCTTTCTTGAAATGATCCTAAATGAAAATTGATAGTTAAAACAATAAACATTGTAAGTAACCTTAAAAGCCCCCCGCCCCCACACACAAATTAAGTAAATTATACCATATCTGTTATGACGATTTTTTAATTAAAGAAACAGAAAATCTAACTAATAGGGGATTCAACAATAGAAGCCTTTCTTCTATTTCATGAGATGTTTTAAGATGGGATCTAGGGACTTGTAATTTACTGAAGTGACAAGATCATCTTGACTCCGGGTGTACCCATTTTTCTCTTCTTCCATCTTTCCTAGGTAGACTGGGGCTCCCTTCGGGGCCACAAGATGGCTGCAGCAGCTCCAAGCACCATTAATGGTCCATTGTGTCCTCATCAAATTCTAGAGGCAGAAACAGAGGTGATCCCTTCCTGTGTTACTTTTTAAGAACTAAGAGCGTCTCACACAATCTACCTGTAAACCTACTTTTGTCTCTTCTAGTCTGAAAAAAAAAGCCATTTACCCTCAGCCAATCACTAATAAGGAGAACAAAATTATAGCAGGACTGACGACCTAGAAATCATGTTAGTTGATCTTCCCTGAAGCTCAGGACTACAAGAAAAAGAAGAAAGAGAAGGAGTGGGAGGAGAAAGAAGAAGAAGAGAAGGAAGAAGGAAAAGGAGGAGGAAGAGGAGGAGGAGGGGGAGGAGGAAGAGAAAGAAGAGAAAGAGGAAGGGGAGGAAGAGGAGGAGAAGGAGGAGGAGGAAGAGGAAAAGGAGGAGGAGGAGGAAGAG